TACAATTGATCTTATCCTCACTATATTATAATTAATGAAGAGGTTGTACCAAAAGAAAAAAAAAAAACAAAAAAGAACAAAAGCAATGAAGAGGCTCCAAAAATTGTTGTAAATATAATAAACTTCTGAAAGTGAAGAATCAGACTCCCAACAATAACAATAACGTAGTAAGAATTGCCAATTCGACAAGTAACAAATTTCAATTTTACGCACGAAACTATATCTATATTTCGTGATGAATAATTGTTAAAAAAACTCATTCGCATAAAGCAAGTATATATCTATATATAATTTTAAAGGTGCTAACAATTCGAAGTCATAATTTTGACGTAAAGCATTAGGATCTTTCATCGGAACAAAAAAAAATAAAAATTACCTCATAACCGAGTGGATTGAGAAACAAATACTCCCAATTGTTTTTTTTTTTAATCAAATGTGATAATCATTATATTAAGGAAAAAATTACGGGAATTGAATTATATTACAACAACGTAAGGTTAAACTATTACAAATACTTCCAACTGAATATGGGAAGTAGGAAGGACCAATGGCTGATCAAAACTGATTGTTGAAATTAGATTTTATGATTTTTTTTTTAAAGATGATATGATAATAATATGTTTAAAAAAGGATATGATAATAAGAAAGAACAACAACGTTCTAACTTCTAAATCAAACCATTATCATCCTTGTTGCCTTTTTGTTTCACGTTGCAAAGTAAGTTATCACACAATTTCCTTATGGCACTATCACTGTGAGGATGAAGAATATTTTATAAGTTAACAAATTTAATTAGCATACTTTAATATAAACTAACAAATTTAATTAGCATACTTTACTCTGTTCTTCTCGCCTTTTATATTCCCGGAGTTCTTCTAAATCACTGGTCCAATGATTTGATTTCAATAGGGAAATTCTTGGGAGGCAAGGACCAAAACACAAACCAAACAGACTAGTTACTCAACACAAGTGCGAAAAAGTACCAACTGCACCAAGTCAAAATAATAAAGTAACAAAACAATAAAAACAAAACCAACACAATAACACTAAAAATTACGTGAAAATCCCTTTTGATGTGAATGAGTAAAAATCACGAGATCTAAAGGTCGAAAACCCATTAATAACTGAAACAAGAATAGAGTACACAATCCAATAATATCCAAATGATCTCTAATCCTTAACAAGAGTCTACAAAAGCACTAGAATCATAATGCAAGATCAATAGATGCTAAATCTTTCACAAAATAGCAACAATTTAAAAAATGCATAACTCACAATTTAATAGACAAAAATCAAAACCCTTCGCTGAAAATGAAGATTGACGAGTCCTGTACCTCTTGTAAAAATTTCAGGACCACGGACAATAATTGCTCCTTCAAACTTGAAGAATTCCGTCTCCCTGGAAATTTTCTTTTCTCCTTCCGATTTTGTGGCCAAAAACACACATGCAAAAGCAGCAGTCCCCGATATGATGTGATGCAACAGTCTTTTTAATAAAGTAATTTATGGACCAAACTAGGAAATGCAGAAAAGAGGAGAAGAAAAGGAGTTTAAGACTGGTCAGGAAAGAAGAAAGAAGGAAAAGTGATGCGAAAAGAAGGGATCAGAAAAGGACAGAAGAGAAAAGGAATCTTTTCTTCAAAAATTCAGCCTGATCCTTCTGATAACATTGCCTCATTTTAATAGCTAACCTGACTAATCATCCTAGCGATGATTACAAGGAAATTGCTAGGAAGGAGCTTGAGTGACAGCTGTTGATTCTGGCAGCTTCTTGCTCATGAACGTACATGGCAGGAATGCTTACATCAGACTAATAAAAATATAAAAACTAAAGCAGTAAAATTGAATTATCTTAACCCTAATACAGTAATTTAGATTGCCTGTTCCTGACAATGCCTCCTGCTGAGATAAGGCTTGTCCTCAAGTCTTGAATGAGGGAAACTGTTTGGTGATGAAAGCACTGTCCTCCCAGGAAGAATCCTCAAGATCGTGATTCTTCCACTTAATTAACCACAGCAATATTCTATTCTCCCCTTTTTATGAATCTCCTTTGAAGCACCTTTTCTAGAAAGAGCATACCTTCTTGATCATCTGCCAAGTCTGGAAGTTCAGCTGGCATAACTGGAGCATTGCCTGTATGCTTTTTAAGCAGAGAAACATGGAATGTGGGGTGGATTTTTGAGTGAGCAGGTAGCTGGAGCTTATAGGCCACGTTTCCAATCCTTTCTATGACCTTAAATGGTCCATACCACCTCACTGTGAACCTCAAAGCTGTGTGCATTGCCACTGAACTCTGCTTGTAAGGGTGAAGCTTCAAGTACACCCAGTCTCCAATCTGTAGCACTCTTTCTGTGTGCTTCTGGTCAGCATAAAATTTCATCCGACTTTGTGCTTTGGTCAGGCTCTCCTTTATCATTGCCATGATCTTAGCTTCTGATTCATCATATCAGCAACAGCAGGTATTATAATTGAAGTGTAAGGCCCCAAAGGAATACTGTGAGGTTTAGTACCATATAGAGCTTCAAAAGGAGTGGTGTTTGCACTGAAATGAAACGAAGTGTTATACCACCACTCTGCGAGTACCAGCCAAGATGACCATGTGTTGGGAGAAGAACTGCAAAAACACCTGAGATATGCTTCTAAACACTGATTCACCCGTTCAGTCTGACCATCCGTTTGAGGATGATAAGCAGTACTGAGGTTGAGTTTAACTCCCACGGTTTGGAATAAGGCCTTCCAGAAATGGCTTGTAAATATCCTATCCCTATCACTGATAATTGAATCAGGAATACCATGCAACCTGAATATCTCCCAGAAAAAAATTTCAGCAATGTCTTTTGCTGCATAAGGATGCTTCAAGGGGATAAAGTGGCTGTATTTAGTCAGTCTATCCACTACCACCAAGATTGAATCATAACTATCAATAGAAGGTGGTAACTGGTCTATGAAATCCATTGAGATGCTTCTCCAAGCTTCCTGTGGAATCTCCAATGGTTGTAGCAACCCCGGGTATGGCAAATGCTCATTTTTATGTTGTTGACAGATCACACAAACTTTGACATATTCATCTACATCTGCTTTCTGATTCTTCCATATAAAAACACTTCTCAGCTTGTTGTAAGTGGCTTTCTGTCCAGAATGCCCACCTAGTGAAGATGAATGAAAATGTTCCAAGAGCTGCTTCATGACATTAGAACTGCTACCCACATAAATTTTCCCATCCATCTTCAATATGCCTTGAATAAATTGTAGATTTTGAGAAGAATCATTACTCAAAGAAGCAGTAGCTATCAAGATTTGTGCATCTTCATCATTGAGATAACTTTCTTCAATCTGTTGAATCCATTGGGGTTGTATTATGGAAATGGCATTTAAACTTTCATTGTTTCCTTCTTCGTGTCTCCTCCTTGATAATGCATCCGCAGCAATATTCTCCTTACCCTTCTTGTATTGGATCTCATAGTCCAAACCAAGCAACTTAGAGAGCCACTTCTGTTGCATAGTTGTAGAAATCTTCTGCTCCATTAAATATTTTAAAGCCTGTTGGTCTGACTTGATAATGAAATGGTGGCCATATAAATAATGTTTCCACTTGTCAACTGCCATCACCAATGCCAGAAGTTCCTTTTCATAGATGGATAAAGCTTGATTTCTAGGACTGATGGCCTTACTGAGGTAGGCTATGGGGTGTCCTTCCTGCATAAGCACAACTCCAATGCCTTGATCACATGCATCGGTCTCAACAACAAAAGGCTTATTAAAATTTGGTAGATGGAGGACTGGGGCAGTTGAAAGGGCTTCCTTTAACTTCTCAAATGCTGTAGTAGCAGATGCAGTCCACAGGAAAGAATCTTTCCTTAATAACACTGTCAGAGGTTTCCTAATGACCCCAAAACCCTTAACAAATCTTCTATAATACCCTGCCAACCCCAAAAACCCTCTCAGTTCCTTTACAGATGCTGGTACAGGCCAGTTCACTATGCTAGAAACCTTATCAATGTCCATAGCTACCCCTTGTTCTGAGATGACATGGCCTAAATATCCAATGGATTTTTGAGCAAAATGACACTTGCTTTGTTTAGCAAACAACTCATTTTCTTTTAGGGTCTTTAAAACAATGGTCAAATGAGTGGCATGATCTTCCATATTAAGGCTGTAAACCAAGATATCATCAAAAAAGACCAATACAAATTTCCTCAGGTATGGCTGAAATACCTGATTCATTAGAGCCTGAAATGTCGCTGGTGCATTAGTGAGGCCAAATGGCATGACCAGAAACTCAAAATGCCCATGGTGTGTTTGAAATGCGGTCTTGGGAATGTCCTCCTCCTTCATTCGGATTTGGTGATAGCCAGACCGCAAATCGATCTTAGAAAATACTTTAGCACCTTGCAACTCATCCAGTAATTCCTCAATCACAGGTATTGGAAATCTATTCTTTACTGTCATCTCATTAAGCTTCCTATAATCAGTGCATAATCTCCATGATTCGTCCTTCTTCTGAACCATTAGAACTGGAGAGGCATAAGGGCTATTACTGTGTCTAGCAGTCCCTTTTTCCAACAATTGCTCCACTTGTTTCTCAATTTCTACTTTCTAGGCATGAGGGTACTAGTATGGTTTCAACTTGAATGGTACTGCTCCTGGTTTTAAACATATCTGGTGATCCACCTTTCTTGGAGGGGGTAATGCCACCGGTTCAGCAAACACCTCTTGGTATTGCATTAGAATAAAGGCAATCTCCTGTGGTAATTCTTCAAGGTGGACTGTGTATAAACAACCTGCATTCCAACCCACTGCCTCTGTTGCTCTTCTAGTCCTTCCATATTCCACAGCCCTTATCTCTTGTTCCCTCTGCCATTGCTCTCTCTTCCTCTTATGAAACTCTACATTTTCCAGTACATCTTCAATCCTCCTGTGAGTCTCGTAGGCTTCTCCTTTCAACAAGAACCTTTCTCCTTTTCTGTTGAGCTGAATAGTAAACCTGTCATAATCAAAGGTTATGGGACTAAACCTTGATAGCCGTCAGTTCCTAGTATGATGTCCCATTCTCCCAAATCAATCACTTTGAGATCAAACCGGAAATCATATTGTTGGATAGACCAAATAGCCCCTAGACAAAGTTGATCATTCCTGATTTTATACCCACCAGCAACAGTGACCATAAATGGTCTCATGGTTCTTGTTGGAAATCTCATTTTCCTGACCAACTGATCATTGATGAAGCTTCTCGAAGCTCCAGTATCTATCAGGATTTTAATCAAAACCTGATTAATGAATCCAATAATCACAATTATCTTGCGGTCTTCATCTTCTACTGCCCAACATTCATCCATCTGAGTAATTGTTTGAATGTGATCCTCAGGAATAACCACAACGTTGCCAGCATCAGTAACTCCTTCCTCAATTATATTAAGGTCTCCCAAATCCTCATCATCTTCAGCCACAATAACATTAAGCTGTTTGATCTTGTATACATGACCAGGTCCCCATTTGTCCCCATATTTCCAGCATAATTGGTTGTTCCTTCTGTATTGAATCTCCTGAGGTGACAACCTTTTGAAACCTTCGCTTCCTGTTCCTTTCACAGCTGTGTTCCTCATCACATGAGGACTTCTTACTTGGGGCTGAAACAGCTTATTGCTACTAGCCACACCTGTTTTAGCTTTCAAAGCAAATTCCAACGTTTGCTCTTGAACAATAGAAATTTCAAAGGCTCTGAGTAAAGTTGATGGTTCCAGCAGCCTGACCATGGGTTTCAATTTCTCCTTCAATCCACTAATGAAGCTGGATATAAAATATTTCTCTGATAGATGAGGATCCTTGCACAACACTAAGGACTTCAGTTCTTCAAATCGTTCATGATAGTCCAACACAGTACCTTTTTGTTGCAACTTATTGAACTCCTCTATATCATCTCTTCCTCCTTTTTCACCAAATCGTTTAATGAGCTCTATTTCAAATTCATCCCACGAGATTTTAGACTTAACTCTTTTTAGACTCTGGTACCATTTATCCGCCTTCCCATCTAGATACAATTCAACAGCATCTAACTTCTTTTCATCAGAAACCTCATAAATACTGAAGAACTTCTCACATTTTCTTAGCCAGTCTCTAGGATTTTCACCTTCAAAGTTTGGAAGCTCTAATCTTGGTTGAGACAACCACGTGTTCTTATCAGATTTACTCATTACTGACTTTCCAGATGATTCTTCTTCTTCTAAATTTATCTTAGGCACTTTTCCAGGAGTTGGTAAAATACCTGCTGAAGAAGCTATATGAGCCTTACCAATCAATGGAGTCTCCATTTTCTCATTCTTCTGTTCATTCATCAACTGCAATAATTCGTTCAGTTGAGCCAACATCATCTGAGAGTGATTCGCCTGTTTATCCACCTTTACTTCAAGTAAACTTCCCCAGTTGCTCAACTTTTCCTCCATCTGCTTCCTCCATTCACAGATTTCCAAAAGCTGTAAGTCCTGTTTCTTCATGTGCTCTTCCAGGGCTTGAGTGGTCTTAGCCCTAGTTTCTGCCATTGTTTTTCAGACAAAAGAAAGAATCTTTCTTTTCCTGTGGAAATCCCGATTTGAACGTTAAAACATAGGCCAAGGACACATCAGCTCTGATATACCAAATGTGATGCAACAGTCTTTTTAATAAAGTAATTTATGGACCAAATTAGGAAATGCAGAAAAGAGGAGAAGAAAAGGAGTTTAAGACTGGTCAGGAAAGAAGAAAGAAGGAAAAGTGATGCGAAAAGAAGGGATCAGAAAAGGACAGAAGAGAAAAGGAATCTTTTCTTCAAAAATTCAGCCTGATCCTTCTGATAACATTGCCTCATTTTAATAGCTAACCTGACTAATCATCCTAATCATGATTACAAGGAAATTGCTAGGAAGGAGCTTGAGTGACAGCTGTTGATTCTGGCAGCTTCTTGCTCATGAACGTACATGGCAGGAATGCTTACATCAGACTAATAAAAAGATAAAAACTAAAGTAGTAAAAGTGAATTATCTTAACCCTAATACAGTAATTTAGATTGCCTGTTCATGACTTTTTGCTGCCTTTTGTTAGCCCAAAAATGCGGGCTGGAAATAAAACACAAGTTGGGCCAAAATTATTTAAATATTTGGGTTTTTGAACCACATAGTTAGGAGCCCAACCTACCAGTTCTTTCATTGCAAACTTTTTCTTTCCTGAACGGATGTGTGGGTTTTGAATTTAGAATCACGAACTCATGAGGATTGCCCAAGAAATATGAGACTATGAAATTTAGAAGTTATGTTAACTTTTGCGAAAGTGGAATTTAGAAGTTATGTTAAGTTCTGCGAAAGTGGACTTATCCAAGCTGTTGTGCCCAATCAAGTTCGAAATAACCGGTGGCCGTTTGAGTCAAAGAGTACAGTTCTCGTTGGTATCAATTTTCGACACGATTTATAGATACGATTAATCTGATTTGAGATTTTATTAATTTTTGCTTCAAAAATTTTATTAATCATGTAAATATTTAATACGGAATTGATCCGATAACTCGACAGCTCTTTGTACCTCTTCTTCTGGTGTTACATGTCATGTAATATTATTTAAAACTTGACACGTGTTATTTTTCAACATTATTATCAAATTATTGCACTCTATGAATATGTAACCCCAGATGTCATTTTCTAGTCACGAATTGTGATTACTAACAGCGCACTATACAATTTCATAAAGTCATCCGATCTATTTGTAACTAATGAAGCGAAACCCATGTCTTCCTTTACTATCCGTTCTCTCTAAACCGTAATCCACCATCTTAAAAAGAAAAAAATGCTATAGAAGATAAACTTTTGCGTCCAAGTTTAGAAAAACCTTTATTTTTTATTGTTCGGTAAAAAAGAAATGAAAAAGAGAACATGTTGAAGGCTGCTAAATAACAGCATTAATAACAGAAATAGATATTACTATATCAATTGTGATATTTCTCTATATACATCCGAACTCCTACGTTGGTGTCACTGATGAGCGAGGGAGTCTTATTCATTGGTATTATCATAAGAATTATTTTTTTGGAGAAAGAAGAATGAGTTGGGAACGGTGATGCAGAAGAATAGAGTGACAGTCAGCCTCTGCGCATTTTCTAAAATGGAAAGCCTCCAACAACAACAACGCCCTCCTCTCTATGTCTTCACAAGTAAAAAGTAGATAAAAACTACTCTAATTCTGCATAGGCAGAAAAGAGAGAACCACCAAGCTTCACTATTGATTCAAAATTCCATTAGAACCAATGTTTGCGAGAGTTTTCAAAACGGTTCTCTTTCCAAGCTTGTAATTATAAAGTTAAATTGAAATCACTAGATAGGTTTTTTTTTTTTTTTTCCGTTTGATTCATTTAGTATAGGTTAATTAAATGTTCATCTTAGTAAGTTAAATAAGATTGATGGTAAAATAAACTGATGAGCGGGTCAAAAATTAATTTAGATTTTATACTATGTTTCTCACTAAACCATGACATGTGTGTCTTATATTTTTATTGGATATGTTTTAACTGAATGGTTAAGTCAAAAATCAATAACTGGCCCATAGAATTTTCCTATATATATTGATACTGAATAGTGAAATTAAATAGTGACTACTGACTCGTGCGAATATGTGTGTATTTATTTAACCGTCCTTATTATGTTGATACTTATGACTTTAGTGGGATGATATTTTGTATTTTTAACGAATCACTATCTCATATTTTACTGTAAATGGTCATTGTTCCTATTATTCTTGCTTGAACATAAAAATAAAACTACAGTAAAACCTCTCTAAATTAATAACATTGGGCTCCTAAAATTTATTAATTTATCGAGTTATTAATTTATCGATAAATTAATAATTATTAATTTAAAGAGTTTTTCAATCCTTATAGGGGAAAATTTTTGCCAAGAATAAAAGTAAAGTCGATTATAAATATGAACTTTTAACTTTATTAATACGGTATTAGGGTTATCTTTGTGTGGCTGCAAATTTTGAATCTCCAAAAAGAAGCACTAAAGACAACATCAACTCTTCATAATTTTTTGTTGCAATATGACAAAGCGACACCGAAACTTTTGAATGCAATGAGAAAGATCAAAGATGATATCTCCGTAGATATAAATTTTAAGAAAAAACAAAGATCAATAGATTCATATTTTACTAAAAATTATTAGTTTTTGTTTAGGTAATTATTAATTTATGAAAATGTGCGGACCTATATTTACATAAGGGATTCTTGAAAATTTATTATCTTATAAATTAATCGAATTTTTTTATTTTTTGTACTGGTCCCGAGTTGTGATTGGCAAAAATTATTATTTAATACTCCCTTCGTCCCAAAATTATTGTCCAGTTTGAGATTTTACTTTTAATACAATTTGAACTAAAAATGAAAATCTAAACTGGACAATAATTATGGGACGGAGGGAGTAAATTAATTAAGAGTACTGTTACTACCACATGAAATAACCTTCCGAATGTGTTCCAATCAACTATATCAAAATAACAAACATAGGTTAAGAAGCACTGTATTGGATTTTTTTTATATTTTTTATTTTATGCTGATGATCATCCGAGTTGAAATCAGTTTATGAAGGCCCTTAAAATTTTGATTGGATTGGTAATCTGATGTATTTTTATGAATCACGCTTGATTAGTGGTAAGAACGTAACACAATAAAGAGACTCTATTGTCTAATACTTTTTTTGGGAAGCGAACAACTATCTGTCTCAAATATTACCGTGAACGGAAAACCTATTTTCATTTTGGTATGATAATGCATTTACTTTGAAGTCTTTACGTATAACATTGGATATTACGAATTGTTTTAAGTCTTTGTAATCTTTGTCTTTTTTCTTTATTTAAGAAAAGTTGGAGTTTAAAAGTTACTTTGATATAATCAATTCGGAAATGTGTTAAAATCCCTTACAACACATGCGATCAACTTTTACTAAAATCTTAAATGATATGAAGTTTATACTTCTTTCCTTTGGTTCCAGATAAAGTTCATTATTATTAACATGTATTATAATTGGGGAATATGGTTTTGGATTTGGTAGTCCTTCTTCTCGTATTTTTGTTATTTTTAAATTTCATATATTTTCATATATTAACTTTCCTTGTCATTATTTTTGTGTGAGATTTAATTTAGCGTTTAGTGAAAAATAAAATGCGGATAAGAAAATGAAAAGACATACTAATTATGATTGTTTATTACTTATTATTATTGCTAGAATTTGATAGGTGATAAAAACGACTGTAACAAGTTTATTTTACATTTTATAATTCTTTAAATTTATCATTTTGTAAACTTTCCACCTTGATCTTCCTCCCATTAATTTATTTTTTACAATTACCATTAATATGTGATTTGATAGGTAAAAAACAGTTTTGATGGTTCTAATGTATAATATTAAATGATGTATGAGTCTGTTCATATCTTCCTCTCTTTTTTTTTCTTTGATTCTTTGCTTTTTTATGTTCTATAACGTCTTCATTACAATTCTTTGGAAGATAATCATCTTTCATTGTTCATATTCATTTTTTTCCAAGAATTCTTTTATCTTTGATTTGTTTTTTTATTTTAAAGTTGTTCCTTTTTTTTTTTTGGATGATGCATAAAAGCTTGATTGTGTCTTGTTACTTTGTATGTCTTTTGTTTCCTAATCACATTTGTAATATTATGTGTAAATTTTGTTGAAATCAAAAGTTTCACATTTTAATAATACGATTCTGTAAAATATGTAAAATATGTAACATCATCGTGGGTCAAAATTTTTTACTATTAACAAATTATTTTTTATTTTATACAATTTGTATTCTTTTATTAAATATAGTGTACGCACGAAGCACGTATAATCCATGTAGTATTACTTAAATTTAACAAACTAAATTATTTATTTGACGCACGGAGTAAAATATATGACTATAATCTTAATTATAGTTTTATATGGTCTATACTCTAAAACGATGGTTCATGCATGCGTATATATGACAACAACATTATCTCAATAGATGCCAAGAATCATACGCATGAAATTAATATATGTTGTTCATTCGCGTCTTCATTAAATATTTTCTTTTACCTTCTATATAAATCTCGAACCAAAAAAAAAAAAAAAACTATCTTCATCATTCATCTTGCTGTGCTGCTGTTATTGAAGGTATTTTAAGATAATAAAACGTAAAAAAAAATACTTATTTGGGCATGCTAGAAACGTAAAAAAAAATACTTAGGCTCCTAATTCTTTCTTTCTCTCCCCCCGCCCCCCAATGAATTAAGTTTCTTTGCCATGTTACTAATTTAATTTTGGGTTCCAGTAATATAGTTTAATTTACCACCACAATGCAATTAATTTTAATTTTGCCACTTTATTGAATAAAAATGTCTTCTTCAATTATATGCAATTGATTTTAATATGGCTCTTCAATCCTGGTTATGAACATCTTATGATCTAACTTGCCATATGGGGGAGGAGGGGTACTGATTTGGAAACGAATAAACAATTCATAGTGTTTAGTTCGTTTTTAG